CAGCAACCTGGGTTTGATTCCAGCCAACAGGCCGTTGCTGTATGTTGTCCCTCTTCTCTCGCCCCCTTTTCCTGTCTGTCTTATACTGTCCTATCTGATAAAGGCTAAAAAGACCCAAATAAAACTTTAAATTTCTTGCAGGAGTTCGTGAAAAGTTCATTATTTGAATGCATACATTCACTCTTCACCAAAAATATGAAGTATGTTTAATGAACGCACTCTTCAACACTGTCTGAACTTAAAGAAACAGTTTTGCATTTGCACTGCAGTTTGCAGAGATGGGACTTATTGATCAAACAGAAAAAAACAAGAAACAGTAACTCAACATGACAAAAAAAAAATATATGTGATATATATACATAAAAAAAAGTAAAATAAAATAATGCTGCAAATGGAAAACTGTTTCTGATTGGTATACCGCAAGGAAAATGTACATACACACACCTAGTAATGAATATTATTATTATTTAGCCAAATAATCACAAACTCACTGCTGGGATATTGTATATTTGAAGTTAAAAAAGTAAAAATCTACAAAGGGAGTGAGAAGATCAAATTAACTATTTCAATATTTACAAGCTCAAACTAACTATTTACATATAGGCTAAGCTTTAGGAACTCTAATCCAGAGATCCGGGGAGAAAAGAAGCCGCTTCACTTTGTTCAGTAATACTTATCCAAACCAACCAAACAACTTTACTTAAAGCTGCATTTGACTCTTGTTATGCAGGTTGAACCTCTCAAAGCTGTTATTTTCTTCTGTAAACGTATCAATGTGGACATTTAAACACATATTGTTTACAACTGCACAAACATTATTAACTATTAGATTAAAATCTCCCAAACCCTGTCTGAGAAAACACACCGGTTCTGGCTGTTAATGTTCTCTTTTGTAACACTGTCAACATGTAGACTGGTGTTAAAACTAGAAGCAGAGGAACCCACTTAGCTGTGTTATCAGATGTTCACTGAGAGCTAATGTAAATAGGTTTAATTGAATTTGGCAATCTTGTTTTGATTATTTCAATAAGGTTTTTTTCTCTTTTATGTAATTGTGTTAATGCATTTGCGTGCACATTGTACCAAAAGCCCTGATAAACCTGTCGGTTGCTGTCATTACAGGGGGATGGTGGTTCCGTACGAGGGCCAGTCTTTCTCTGCACTGAGGAGCCAGTGCCAGGACAATGGGGTCCTGTTTGAAGACCCTCTGTTCCCACCTTCTGACCAGTCTCTGTTCTACAATAGCAACCGCCTCGGCCAAATCACCTGGAAAAGGCCTAAGGTGAGGAAAAAAGAACTGGTTTGTTTAAAAGGAAGCAAGATATCCACATATTTCTGCCAAGAAATGAAAGAGAATTTCAGAAATGTTCCTTATTCTCCACGTTGCCTGCTTTACAGGCAACCTCACTGTTTACACTATTAGACAAACAACAACACTGACATACTGCAAAATAAAAACATTCAAGGGTCAAAAAAGTGAAGAATAATCAGAAAAAAGTTACTGATATTCACATCTGAGTTGAAGGCACAGCTGTTGCTGCACCACAGTGAACTGATCAGCTGATTCACAGTGGAGGGAGACAAGAAACAGAGACAGGGGACAGTAGGTGGGAAAGGGGGATGTTGGTCATGAGACAAGTACAAAGGAGAGCATGCATATAAAGAGAGGAAGGTTACATGGACTGAATAGGGAGAGGAATTTAGGGAATTTACCCCACTGAAATCCCACGCCATCACCTAAAAACTGTTGTATGTGTGTCTGCGTGTGTGCATGACTACATGTGTTTGCTCTTTGAACAAATATTTGAGCGAATATTTGGACAGCAGAATAACATGAGATGTTGGTAGTTACTGAGTTTTGGGAAGAATTTGTATTGATCACACTGTAACAACTACAAAGCCAAACCAACCAATACTGAACCAATATCCTATAACGTCATATCCTTCATACATTTCTTGGCAGTATGGACAAGAAATAGTTCTTAAATTGCCTTAATAATCTTAAAAAGATCTTAAATTTAAATTTAAGTTGAGACTGGCAGTAAACCTGGTTACATAGTCATATGTTGTACTCTATATGGAATTGGTTAGAGTTGTCATCTGCAAGGAATATGTAGATATGTGCAGCAACAAAACGTTATCGGTTCTCAATCAACACACCTGAGCAATAAGGGAGGTTATTATTAACTGATATGTTTTCTTTCTATCCAAGTTCAGTTTCTGTGGAGCAACCCAGCTAAAGTTAACAGAGGATACCTAGAAAATGTTGTAGATGAAAGATGTATGCTTCTGTTTGAGCCCCTGACCTTACCTAACCTCTGCATCCAAAACAGTTTATTTCCTTAAATACTCAAATCCACTAAAAGACACTGAACAGTCCAACAGAGGCCTTTCCCTGATGTTCAGTCTGAAACCTTTGATGGAAACACACCAGAACACACTGAGGCCTCTTGAAGTGATATTTTTCCTTCATTCCAAAGCTAAAAATCACAACATCATTAATGTTTTATCCCAAATGTTCATGAAATTCAGTCCTTGTTAAGTTCCCATTTAAAAACATTTTAATACAGGATACTGGCAAGTTTCTTCTGGTACCATCCATGTTCTTAAGGAGCAGAACTATTGATTACTATAAAATAAACAGAATAAGAACCTGGTGATTAGTATGAGCAACACAAATGTGGCCAACTCACTGAAATGGTTTACTGCTAGAAGGTTAAAATGATGATGATTAGAATCTGAATTTGAAAAATGATTGTTGTTACAATGGCTTCCTGTAACTTTTTAACCTGACTTAAGTTTGTACTTACATGGCTGAATTTCTATTAATGCCAACAGATGGCCTCAGTCTAGAATAAACATTGAGATTGTTTGATATCAGAGTTGTTAGCTTAAACTGCCAAACTTTACTGGCCTCAGAGACTTTGAGTCAACCTCTGCATTTCACTGAACCGTATTTGTTTTTAGGAATGTTTTGATGCAGTGCAACCAGTAACCACTGTGTAGATGATGAGGACATATGATGCTCATAATGGAATTATTGCTTCATAGCTTTCCAGCCTCTATCTGCAGCTGTTTACGCTGTTCACTCTTGTCTCTGTGTCAGTTCTTTGCTTCAAAAACTGCAGTGAGATAGAAAAGATGAGTCTCTGTCCACTTCAGCAGACTGGAGAGGTTTCAATATGTTTTCAGATGAAGATTAGATTTTTTTAAATTTTGTTAATTACAATTTATCTTTTGGATTAATTCACATTTTCTTCTGAGTCTGAAGTCTTGTACACCTAGCTCAAGCCTGAACTATATGTATATAAATGCTTTTACTGTCAATCATTGATGACCTGAGCTGCTTAATAATTAAACAGGAAACCAAAAGCACTCCAATTGATCAATATTATTGATTTGTCCAGGGAGTGGAGAGAGAGGAAGCATTCATATCATTTCACACTAAACTTAACCGTCTCTCTGAGTTACCAAGTGAAACCACACATTTACAAGCGCTTAAAACTGTACTGATCCGCCTTCTAGCTCCACACATCTTTGGTTCAGTGTTCAGTGGTCTCACTGATTATATCCTGAGTCCAAACTTGCTCTACTTCAGCCTCAGTGTACACTACTATTGTTGACTATTGTTGTGGAACATTATATCTGTGGTAATATTAAAAAATAAACAGGGTCTCTGAAATTTGGTTACTAAAGAATTGTGTGAACTGAATGGGACATTTTACAGTTGAAAAATAAACTAATCATTGCTCTCTGGTGGACAAACTATGAAATACTGTCACATATCTTATACCCACTGATCAAACTCAGACTACAAAAGCCTTATTTTATCTTCTGCTAAAGTTACAGTAGCTTTACACAGAATGAGGACTGTGGATGTTGTCTGTCACTTACACAGAAATCTCTTTAGGAGGAGATCTCTTTGCAATGTTGTGGATGAGCCAACATCGTATGCAGGGTTCCACCATTTTCTTTCTAGTGCCTTACTGGTACTTCACATGTGCAGCTCTCAATAGAGATTAGAAGAGATTCATTCCTTACATACTTCCATCATCAGCTCTGCAAAAAACAATGTCTTTTATCCTTTTTTACCAGGCAGGTGAGTTGCTAGATTTAGTAGCCCAAAGTGGCATTTTACTTGCCCTGGGCAAGTGGGCAGTCCACAAGAGAGGGGGATGAAGATTGTGGAAAGGAGAACCACAGAGGCTATTTCTTTACTGTTTGTGTGTCTTTTTTGTGGTTCAACAGATGAGAGCATGTGTGGCCTATACAGTATGTGTACTTGAAATAGTGGCTTCTAATTTTGAGAATGAACACACAGAAAGGGGCATTTGAGATTCTTTCTGGTTTCTTTATATTTTATGGCCAGTTTGTCATGTGACTTTTCAAAAGAAAATACAACACAAAGTGTAAATGTAAACAAAATGTGTGTGTGTGTGTGTGTGTGTGTGTGTATAGCAGACAATTAGCTTATCTTAGCACAAACACTGGAAACAGGGGGAAACAGCTAGTCTGACTCTGTCCAAAGGTAACTGCCTACAAGCACCTCTAAAGCTCACCTATTAACACATTATATCTCGTTTTTTAAAATAAAACATGTAAATAAGTGAGCTTTATGTAAGCCATGTGTGTGTCTGTCTCTACATGGTTAGTGGTCTTGCTGGGTGTGTGCCACTGGTTTATCCCAGCTCTATCATTTGGCTGCCGTCCTGTTATATGTTCTGTGGTTTGTTTTGCTTTGAACGTTCAGACGGGATTTCTACTTAATCAGAGAATGTTTTTACCCTGTATTTACCTTATGATGGTTGACTTACCGCTCTGGTTAACGCCCTGCTTCACATTCATCTATGCCTGGCAGCTGCCCAGTATGGCCACTTCCTTCTACTGCTGGTCACTGAACAGCTGCCGTGCTGCAGCAGGTAGAAAAGGACTATAAAAGTGGACTGGGTGATGATATAATTAAAACCCCTTTAGCCTTTTTCTACTGGGTTTCTGTTTGTCTCTAAGAGGGAAATTAACTATAAAAACCAAACTTATTAAGGGAACTTTGAAATTATATCACGCTCAAAAATAATTAATTGTTCAGTCATTCCTTTATGGGTTATTATTTTGTTTTGTCTTGGTGTTTGTATTGGACCTGATATTTGTGCAACTGTGTTGGATTATTTGTAGTTTAGAAGTAGTCAGAAACATAATACAGTTTATTTGAAAGAAAAAGAAAAGATTAATACTGATTGCAATCATCTTTATCCTTCTAGGAATTATGCATCGAACCCCATCTGTTTGTGGACGGCATTAGTGCCCACGACCTGCACCAAGGCCAGCTGGGAAACTGCTGGTTCGTAGCCGCCTGCTCCGTCGCTCACGAACCGGCACCTATGCAGAACGGTGCAGACAACTAGACATCCTCCAGTCTTCCATTCATCTCCTTTCTGTACTACTTTGATTTTGCTAAGCTTGCTTTGTTTCTCGGGTCCACATAACAGACAATACTGAATATTTACATATGAATCCATCACAAGACCAGATCGGCCAACTCACACGACAACACAATACAACGACTAGCTGAACAGATCAAGCTGTATTTTCTGACATTGTACCAGTACCACATCTCAGTTAAAGATTTGGCTGTGTGTGTGTGTGTCTCTTTGTATTATGAGGAGGAACTGTGGCAGACACGTCCGGGCTTTGGCTTTGAACCTCCTATACTCTGATGAGGAATGATCAGGAGAGAGAACATTCCTCAGATCAATTTCAAGCCTTTAGAGTTTGAACAGAAAGGTGAGCTGTGAAAAGTCATGAAAGGTAAAGTGAAACACACACGCCCGACCCCGAGAGATATCGTGAGCGAGCGACTGGTTAGGAAGAATAATTGACTGGAATCTTTTTTATTTTTTATTTACTGCAGACAACGAGCATGACATGGACATGACTCATCATCAGAGGGGGAACCGAGGGCGACACTGTGTTTCCGTGTTTGTGTGTATGGCATGTAAAACACAACTCAAGTGGGCAACTACTTATCTTACAAACATTCT